TATATAAAAATCTAGACAATCACAAATATATAAAGGGATTCATACCACTGCAGACCGTTCCATCAAAATAATATCCTATGCCACAATTGCTGATACATTGTCCTTTCAGCAAGGCCAGTGGAGAGGAGCAGGAGGTGCATTGGTTGGCTAGTGGTCCGGAACATGATGCACATTCTTTGTGACAAGCTGTAGAAACAAGGAACATTAGAACAGATGTTTCATGGACAAGACTATATTGCTATATGCTTCAATTCATTCACTTATCAAGATGATAAACTCAAAGGATGTCATATGGGACCACAAATAATAGCACATGATAGTAATAACGCTAATAATAATAAAATAAAGTTGTAAACAAATAAATCTGCGCTTCTGGAGAAGTGATGTTTAGTAATAAATTAAATAAATTAAATTAATAAATTAAGAATAAATGTGAATAAATGTGAATATATGTGAATAAATAAACCCAAAGCTGCTCTGAAAAAAGGTGGAACCTAGTATGATCGAAAGAAACAAAGCGCTAAAGGTAACTGTATGAGCAAAAAAATGAGCTATAAATGATTCTGGCGAGGTCAGTATAGAAGCTAATAAATAAGTATAAAACAGGACTAGCTTCATAAAAAAGTATAAATAAAACCAGTCTAACCAAAATACAAAAAACAATCAGAACCAATAAAATTCATTCCGATGGAATAAATAAACAAACAATGTTTAAAACGTCAAAATCAGTGTCCAATGCTTAAAAAATCCAAGTGAAAGGTGGTTTCCGTGTGCAAATATAAAAATGTGCAAAAGTAGCAGTGTACTTGAGATTGATCCAAACTGTCCCTCTCGAGTAACAGGTGAACGCTAGATTCCGTGTGCAAATGTACAAATGTGCAAAAACAGCAATGTGCTTCGAATTGTTCCGAACTGTCCCTCTCGGGTGGGTACTCACCAGAGTGAAGTTAGTAGAAAACTTTTAGTGAGTGGTGCCGGGATTGGGTTTTAGCACAGACGTATTCCCCGCGGGTCTCAGCAGCTGAAGCAGTTGATTTTCTCCTCTAAGCCGTTTGGCTATATCTCCCAGATGAGGAGTCCGGTTTTTTTGAAATAGAAAAAATATTATGTCTTCTTCAAAAAACGTATGCACCAGCACTTTCCCTTTTCATCCGGGAAATGCTTAATTGATTGCAGTAGGTTACAGCAGACAACAGGATACAGCAGATGTATGAATAGACGGTATTTGAAGGTCAAGGATGATAATGTCTCCAAGCATGCATGTACATGTGGTCCTGCTATTGACAGACATGACACTGAACGACTTCCTTTTGCTCCCCCACCGGTACTGCCATGTGTATATGAAAATCACAAGTTACAACTTACCACAATTATTTTCTAGTTCTAGTTCTAGTACTAGTTTTCTAGTAGCTAGAACTAGAAAATAATTGTGGTAAGTTGTAACTTGTGATTTTCATATACACATGGCAGTACCGGTGGGGGAGCAAAAGGAAGTCGTTCAGTGTCATGTCTGTCAATAGCAGGACCACATGTACATGCATGCTTGGAGACATTATCATCCTTGACCTTCAAATACCGTCTATTCATACATCTGCTGTATCCTGTTGTCTGCTGTAACCTACTGCAATCAATTAAGCATTTCCCGGATGAAAAGGGAAAGTGCTGGTGCATACGTTTTTTGAAGAAGACATAATATTTTTTCTATTTCAAAAAAACCGGACTCCTCATCTGGGAGATATAGCCAAACGGCTTAGAGGAGAAAATCAACTGCTTCAGCTGCTGAGACCCGCGGGGAATACGTCTGTGCTAAAACCCAATCCCGGCACCACTCACTAAAAGTTTTCTACCAACTTCACTCTGGTGAGTACCCACCCGAGAGGGACAGTTCGGAACAATTCGAAGCACATTGCTGTTTTTGCACATTTGCACACGGAATCTAGCGTTCACCTGTTACTCGAGAGGGACAGTTTGGATCAATCTCAAGTACACTGCTACTTTTGCACATTTTTATATTTGCACACGGAAACCACCTTTCACTTGGATTTTTTAAGCATTGGACACTGATTTTGACGTTTTAAACATTGTTTGTTTATTTATTCCATCGGAATGAATTTTATTGGTTCTGATTGTTTTTTGTATTTTGGTTAGACTGGTTTTATTTATACTTTTTTACTAAGCTAGTCCTGTTTTATACTTATTTATTAGCTTCTATACTGACCTCGCCAGAATCATTTATAGCTCATTTTTTTGCTCATACAGTTACCTTTAGCGCTTTGTTTCTTTCGATAATAAAATAAAGTTGTCCAAACACCATTCTACACTATAAAATACTTATCACTAGAGTGTGTACAGTGGCAGAAGATCAAGTCACAAACATTTTTTATAAATGACACAATGTAAAATAATCTTATTAGTAGTTAGTTGGTATTTTTGTCCACATGAGTAGTCTTCTGACAGTTTTAAAGAAAGAAGAGAAATATTTAAAGGCCCATTCATGGTCTGCACTATTTTTAGAAATTATAACATATCAATACATAAGGATGGGAATACCCTCTTTGGATGCTCATTTTGACCGCACTTTTAATTAAGTTTTTAAATGTTTTAAAGTAGTTGTGAACACACAGAAATATAAGGCTTTTGCAATGTAGTAAATATCCTCTATGGCTACAAACAAATTTAAAAAAAGAAAGCTTTTTAAATATTTTATAACTTTTTTCATGACTGCGCAGTCTCATTTATTCCCCTCTTCAGTATAGTGGGGGGGGTGTATTTATTTACAGAGGTGGAGTGGGTGTGTCTCTTATGTAGGGGGTAAAAGGAGCAGAACAGAACTACTGCCGGTGCGGGCCCTGGTGGGTTCGGTCCCAGGCCCCCCTCCCCCCATTAGGGGAGGCATGGTCCGCTTTAAATTTTTTAACTGACGCATCTACTGTAAGGTCCTGCACTTGCTAGGACCTTAGGGCAGCCTATAGTGCCCATAGCTCACTCCTGCACATCGATGATGCACTGCCCTGGTGCCTCCCATTTTAACCCCCACAAACAAAACTTTTGTGCGTGTTACCGGAGGACAGTTGTGCTGCTGCAAGGGGGTGAGTATGGTGCTCTCTGGGTTTTGGAGGTTGCAGTAGCTCCGGAGGGTTGGCAAAGCGGCATCTTCTGCAGGAGTTTCTTGCCCCCACACCCCACCCCCCAGTATTGGAGGTTAAGGTGAGCAGCCGATTTGCTGGTAGCCCTGGCTGTGCATGCTGGAGTGTCCCTGGAGCCTGGAGGATGGGTTATAGCAGAGGAGGATGCAGGACAGGTACATAGGAAGACATATCTCCTTGCTCTTTGAGGGCTCATTCTGGGTGCAAGACTCCATGCACCGGCCACATCGTGGCAAAGCTGCAGGCACACAGCCTGCCTAAATATTAGAAATTAGAAAAAAATGCCTGAGAGCACAAAGCCTCATCACATATAGCAGTGAAGAAAGCAGACCCTTTAAACTGCAGTCCTCAGAATTGTGTATATGTTCATCCAATAAAATGCTAATATGCTTCTTCTAAAATTGATCAGACAGAAGAAATGGTCAATTATCAACAGCCATTGGGAGATGATCATGTGATCTCTCAACTGTTTTTTTCCTCCTTTTACCTCTTCATACCAGCAAAAAAGTAAGCAGAAAATATTGAGCGAGTCCAGGAAGAAGTGAGAGGCAAACGAATATGACTGTGCAAGCTCATTTGTGCAATGTGCAGCTTTGTGCAATGTTGTGTTCATGCTGAACAGATCAGCTATTATGTACGCCAAAACATGTGACTTTATGAGCAAAAGAGCCATAATGTTTATGTCTTTTCCACATAGACTGAATATTGCACTTTCATATGCACAAACAGCTGAGCTTATCTTAACTAAGGATACTGTAGAAACTTAAATGTTATGATACTGGAAAACTAATTGCTTCTCAGAAATTCCTTCCATATTCTGTTAGCAGTGACTTGTCACTTATATCGTAACAGATGACATTAAATTAGTTGTAATAGCTGGTGTTTATAGCTTGTCGCTCTCAATCTTATCTCCACAAATTTGATTTCTTCTTCTACGCCTTAAAAAAAAAAGATGAATTTAATAAAGAAAAAAGCAACTCCGGCTCAAATGACTGCTACTCAAAAATCCTCACTTTAGCAGGATAAATATTACCCTCTTACATTCTTGATACAGAGGCCTAATGCTACCATCAGCATGCAGACAGAGTACAGTGTGGCGCTCTGCCTCTAATATCCCTGTGCCTCATTTACACTGAATGTTAATGCATTGTTCCCTATAACCCTTACTTCTAATTAGACACAGAAAACAAGAAAGCGCTTAGGGAAAGATGTTAGAGAGTGAACGTATAAATGAGCCTACAGAATGATTGCCACAGAGGCACAATATACTGCTTCCATTATAAAGTCAGGTGTAAGCCTGGCTGAGAATATGTCCATGTATCTTTGGAGAGCTGTGCATCTAGGATACATTATTTCTTTCTAGCATAATCATGCCTCCAGAAATACAAAACAGCTAGTACTTTAATTCACACATAAATTGAATAATGATGTAGTACGTTTGTAAAAATAAATAAATGCCCCTTTTTTTTGCTGAGTTAGTCCCTTTACTGTCATAAAGCAAGCTGTAGTTTAATAATAAGCTCCAAATATGAGATGAGCATATGCATATCAATACTTAAAGGATGCTTAACACCTGTAAAATGCATTAAACACAACTGTCTCCCCTAATAAATGTTCAGAACACATATATGCGTATTTTCCTCACTTTTTATATTATTCATAGCAGGGTTGTTTACCAAATAGAAAAGCTAAGTGACTCATTACTCATATAATTGCTAATTATACCTTTTACTTCCCAGAACGATACCACTGCAATGTAGGATACTAGCAATGTAACTGCAGGGATCAAATTATTGGACCTGAACACATAGGCTTATTTAACCCCTTCATGACCAGTGACGTACAGTGTGCACGTCACTGGCATCAGGCCTGTTTAAACAGAATAAAAGCAGCTGAGACTGTTTAAACTTGTAAACTTTAAAGTAGAAGTGATTCTGGCGGCTCAGCTGCCACCAGATCGCTTCTACTGGCCGGTAAATGCACCCCTTGCCGTGTTTCCCGGGCTCCACTGCCCTTCCTACAGGCCCAGGTCCAGCTTCTCTGATGTCGGGGGGGGGAGCTGGGGAGGATATTGGTGAACCTCCATTCACAGATTTCCTCCCTGTAATATGGGACCGGGAGCGATACATCACTTTCAGTCCCATAGCTGTCAGTGCTGGGCTCCAGGTGTAAAGTCATATTAGGGGTCTTTTGGGCCACCAGTATCACCTTAAAGTGTACCTGTCACCACCAATCTGCTATCACAAGGTGGGCTTGTAAGCCTCCCTATGTGATAGCAATAAAAGTAAAGTTAAGAAAAAAAACATTTTTTAGAATCAATATTGAACAACACACACGTCTTCATGTAAACACGCGTCGGGTGCGCCCATGTATGAAAACATCGATCGCGCTACACATGTTGGGTATCGCCGCACAAACCGGAGTGAGAGCAATAATTCTGGGGCCAATATTTATGCATATCTCTATACTGGTGACCTGTAGGGGCTTTTGAAGCGTCGTCTATGGACTTTTTGGGGTACTGAATTTTGACGCAGATTCACGGATGCACACAATTTTTAACCTGGACATGTTGGGGATCTATTTACTCATTGTAACTTCATATTTTATATTGTATGAAACAAATGGGTATTTTATTGTGTTTTGTAAACAAAAATGTAAAAGACAGGACTCGGTCAAGAAGGGGTTAATAAAAAATAATAAGGTACTTTCACTTAACGGTCCCAACCAACCAATAAAAGTGACTGGCATGATCCAAATGAGAGTGCAGGAACAAGTCTCAAAGCAGAGCCATCCTGTTTTTTTCATTTTGGCTGGACACTTGAGACTACGGGGATGATTTATATATCATCTGCTGTGACATATGCTGGTTCAACACCTTTCGCATGGCATTCTCGCCACTAGAAGGAGCAAAGGAGCATAGGAATGCTCCTAAAGTAAGGAGAATTCTCCTCTTAGACAGCTGTCCCAGGTACACGTGTCCCCATTGGAAGATTCCCCCTCAAATCTTGTTCTGGGGACAACTCTAAAATGTTGGAATTCCCATCACTTTATTTCTTTGTGACAATGGTCTCCAGCTCAAGTAGGTGGCTGACTCTCCCCAGAGGGGGACAAAGACAGCAATAATAACTTGACAGAGGTTCCAACCCTTCCCTACTCTATCCAAAACTTATACACAAAAAGTTTTGTCTAAAAACATTCAAATGATCATTTACAGTTTTGATCTATTCTTTGAGTTGCATGCTTGGCGTAAAGCTAAGAATATTGTTGGTAGAACACAGGGTGTCCACAAGATATGTCAGAACCAGTGGATGACTTAAAGGAGAACTATGAGGTGAGTGCTTTTCACTCATCCTCATAGTTCTAGCCGACCTGTGACAATGAAACTGTCACAAATTGGGAAGTGAGCGAACACATACTGGCGTTCGCTCACTTCTCGATTCCCTCCTCCCCGCTCCGATTCTCCAGCGCTGACTTGCGGAATGGACGGGAGAGGGGCGGGTACAGCTGGCTCTGCCTTTAGGTAGGCAGAGCCAGCTGTCACTCACGCAGCTGGGCGGATCCAGACATAATTGTCGGGATCCGTTTCAACTGCGGCCTCTCAGTATACCGCGGCGTCTCAGTATACCGCGAGCTGTAGCTCGCGGTATACGGAGCTTAGGATGATGGGAGGACACTAGTTTGTGTCCTCCCGTTACCCTTAGGAGAACTATGGGGAAAAGCCCTAACCCCATAGTTCTCCTTTAATCCACCAGTGTCCCCTAAACTTTAGAACTCCGGGATAAGCAAATATGATCTAAATATGTATGCATGTTCATTCTTGAATCTTGGTGTGCTTTGTGTAATTTTTCCAGGTCTGCCCAGTAATCCAGTGTGAAACTTTGCCTCTATGTGAGAGCTTCTTGTAATATAGGCCAGTCACTGCTGCTCTCTCTCTCTGCAGGGTGACTGGTCCTGTATCTTGTATTTTTCTGCAGGAAGCCAATAAAGGGAGGAGCTACCAGGACCCTCCCACAGCTCTGCTCTCTACACAGGCTCATGTACAGCAGTGATGATGTTACCACTATTTTACAAGGTAATGATTGGCCTTGCACAACATTTGGTGCACACAAAGTGAATTGATACCCTTTTTGGCTAATGAGGAATATATGTAACCAAAGCTTTTTTGTGTCTGGAGTTCAGCTTTAAAGTGAGCTTGGAGCAATGGCTAATTTACAACACACACAGGGACCATGGGGAACAAAAGTAACCACCCTCCAGAAGCAAGGACAGTGTAAGCATGAATTCAGATATGATTTGAAAATCTACAGCTTAGTGATGCACAAATAAGATATATTTTCATTAATAGTTAAGGTACTTGAATGCATTTTTAAGATTTATCTCCTGAGTTAAGTGTCACTTTAAGTCAATTTAACCCTAAATTCTTTTTTTTTATTTTAACAAACACCTAAGTGTCTGTTTATGAGGTCGAGAATGTAACTTTCACAGACATTCTCTGGTGGAGAACTATCCAAGTGCATGTGTTGTAAATGGAAGTATTTGATTCTCCATCAGCAAATATTTGTCTAGCGAGACAGTATATCTTACCTGTACACACTGCATCAGAGTAGGAAAAATAGCCAGCCGGACATTGCAGGACACATTTGCCGTGGTGAAACATTCTGCCTTTGGCACAAGTTACACATCTTCTGTTGTATAAAGAGCATGTCTGGCACGAAGAATCACAGGCTAAAACAGAGGAGAATACAATAATTAAAAATAAGTGATAGATACCATGCAGCCAATACTCACAAACATGATCAGACTTATGAACAAAATAGAGATGTACATTGTGGTTTTCCAAATGAAAGCATTTTGCCTGGGTCTCAATCTGCACTTGGCACTAAGCAACGCGACAGATGGCTACTCCAAAGAATACAGGGAGCTGGCCAGGACATCATGAAACCAGGTCATAACTGTTCAGTCCATTCATTTACAATGTTTTCTAACAGACAAAACACCTTTCCATGTGTAGAGAAATGCCACATTTCAATCTTGCTTAATCTAAACAATGTTCTACTAATTAAACCTCATAATGAAGAAGGAGGGCAGTCCCATATAAAATGTAATTGCTGGAGTGCAACTCAGATGACTTAGCCTGGAAGGTAAAACAATCTGATTTAAAAATATGTGATGGTTTAAATTACCGAATTAAGTATTTTATGGACTACGAGACAACAGTTCACAAATGAGAATGTTACATTTAAAAGGTGAATTATGCAAAATTGTATGACAGATTTAGCCACACATATTTGAACCTTTATTGGTAAAAAAAAAAAATAAGATTAATACAACACTTGAATATAAGCTTAAAAACAATGTATAGTTTAAAGTATAGTATATTCCAACACAATTGGTGATCGATTTCAGAGGTCACTTTTAGGATATACTGTGTGAGGTAACACTGTGTGTCAAAATGATCGGTAGATCTGGAACTTTAGGCAAATGCAGAAGTTTACATATCTTGTAAAAGTAAGGCTTGGTCCTTCCTATCTCAGACTCCTCTCTTACATTCTTAGCTTCCCTAGTGAGGATGCCTTTTACATTAAAGGAGCAATAGGGGGATGTACAAGGTAGGGCCAAGCTTGACTTTTACAGGTCGAGATTTGAATACAAATTTGACTATTGCTTAAACATCTAATTGTTTAAAATTGATTTTTCATTTGCCTTTAAAATAAATTAAAATAAAGTGTAGATAAAGTAACAACAAATTATATGATTAAAGAATGTAAATATAATAAGCAGGGCCAAGGAGCAGTACAGTTCTGTATATTCTTCTGCTGTCACTCCACCCTCAGTCTGTCTGCAGCTAGATGCTGGAGCACTAGAAACCACTATGTGCTCCTGTAATACTGGCTTCAGCAGCTTCATGTTTCAGGACCTGTGCAGTATAACTCTTCAACACTGCAGATCAAAATCCATTTAAGCCTCTTGCCTTTGTTTATATATTGCAGTGTGTTTTGGACAAGAATGCATGTGAGGTTTTTTGTTCCAGCATGGGAATCTGCTTTACATGGCATATAGGAATGTAAATGCACGAAAAGCCTTTCTATTTGTGAATATGCTGCATAGTGTAAGAAGCCTTCCCTAAAAACCAGCCTACTTTTCATAAAAGTTCTAAAAGTGCATCAACACGAATCAAGGTACAGAAACATAACCATGCACAGCTACAAATGGGGCTTTATTTACACAGTGAGTGCAGCAAGTAGTAGTGACATTTTCTGCTGCTAACACATAGTAAAAGGATGGGGCAAATGAAGAAATGCTCATTAGCTTCTAACTGACCATATAATAAATGTAATCAAAGCCCGACAGGTTTCCTCTTTGTCTTTTATAACCTGTAAAAAAAAACTACATTCTATATCCATTGGTGTAACAAACACTGTCAAAGCTAAATTACAATTTAAATAAGTAACAACACATCTGCCTATGCTACTCATGTTGCCACCAATCAGAATACATATACAGCACTGGGAGACCTGTTAATCAGTTCTCTCTACTTCAATAATAGGTCAACTTAGTTCTTAGGTTTTCTCACCCAGTGTACGTCTGTGGTCAGTCATTCTAAAACTGATATTACAGTTTTTGGTAGATGCTGGAGAGTAGACCACCTAGCATTTTCTTCTATTGCCTGGGGACTCCAGCGGTGACATCTCTAAGGTTTAGCTCCCTGCTGTCTGCACAGCTGTAAAATGAATACAAAGAAGTCTCTGTCTGGATTTCTTGTTTTATTTTACATAATCCAGCAACAAGTAGAAGTGGTAATGTCCAAAACTTCTGGAAGGGTAGGAGGAGAGCCATACACTATGTCAAGGAGGCTAAGTCTCAAAGAGCTACAGTATATGATACAGTATATGAAACTAACGAGTGACTAAGCTAATCTAATGCCACCTGTAATTGAAATAACACTTTTGAATTGACTTAAATTTTAATTGAGCTTTTAGCCACATTAGTTGCTTTGGATAGGCCATCTTTATATTCTCACCTCATGTTTCCAGTGTCAGTGTAAGCCTAAGAGCTGAAAATCTATTACAGAACCACAAAACTTCTCTATAAATGCACGTGCTGCCTCTGTAAATTCAAGAGAGTTTCCCCTGTCAGCTCTGCCCATAGAGCAGGAAGATTAAGTGCTTCCATGAGGCATTATTGTTTGGCAGCATGGTTCATTCACTCAGCTGATGGACTACACCACAGTATCAAGCAATCAGCCAGCACATGCTGCCTCCTTTACTGCAGACAAGTGGCTGTGTCAGTTTTCTGGATCTTTTCAGTCTTGAGCTGTATGCTTACTGAGCCAAATAATAGCCATAAAGAAGACAAAATGCTCCCAGTCTATTATCGCTCTTAGCTAGCAAGCTAGCTTGAGGTTTTTTTTTTAAACAATGTAGTCACACATGGATTTTAGTATCATTCCCACATAATCATTCAAAAAAGTCAGGATCAGACATTTAGGGGTTGATATACTAAAGGGAAATATGCAAGGGAAATAAAAAAGTATATTTTTGCTTGCACATGATTAATGATGGAAGTCAATAGAGCGTCACCACATTCAATAAACAAAGGGGAAGCTTCCCCTGCGAAATGCTATTTCCCTTGCAAAGTGAACAGCCTATATGCTATCAATAAATTGACCCCATAGAGTCTCACCTAACTACAAACTTTTTATTTATATTCTAAACATATAGTACTATCAGACCAAGTAATGTACTCTTAGGTTCATTATACCACAAAAATCAGCAGAAAAATTATCATAGGACTTGGGCTCCTCTCCTGGCTTCCCGTTGTCCACAGCCTCTTTGTCAGCAACCATCACCTTCTGTGGCACATGCGCCAAATCCAGATCTCCGTGATGTTCATAGAACACTTGGGCGCATGCGCATGATGCGTTGGAAAACGCGCCAAATGATGCACCGGTAGTGACCCACCGGAAGTGACATACCGGAAGTGGCACACCAGAAGTGACACACAGGAAGTGACACACTGGAAGTGATGCACTTAATCAAGTTACTTCCCTATTTAAACCCAGCCTGCACTCCTACAGATTGCTGGATTGTCTTCAGCCCCTCTCCTGTGTTTCTGTGTCCTGCGATTACCTGTCCCTGTGAACTGCCTGTCTCCTGGATTTTGACCTGATACCTTGCCTCGACTACTCTTGATTGCTGCCGGAAACTGACCTTGGACTGAATACTGGACTTCTCTTTGCTCGATCCCTCTGTACCTTCTACGCTCTCCTGGTTTGACCTCAGCTTGCTTTGACCCTGATTTCTGGATTACCTCTGCTCAGCTACAGAAGCAACCGTCTGCTTGCACGTTTTCAACACCACTGGCACCCATGCCACTCGCTGTCCACCAGGTCTGTCTCCACTTCCAGAGGCCTCAAGACACTAGGTGCAAGGGAAGCCTCCTCACACGGTCAGTCTCCCATCAGGAACAATCCAGCCATGTCTGAGACTGAGAGGAATGCTTCCGCCTCAGAGTCCCTGTGCCAACAAGTGGCCTCTGTGACTCAGGCTTTGAAGGTGTTGCAGGACGGATACTTCCAGCTGGAAGGACGGATGACAGCCCTAGCCAATGCCCCCGCATTGAATCCTGGACCTCTTGCACCCCCTGAGCAACTACCGAAACCCGAACAGACCCCACTCTGCCTGCTGCGAAGCCCCGGGTTCCTACACCCAAACATTTCTCGGGAGATCGTCCTAAATTCGGGGCTTTCAGGAATGCCTGTCTGTTTTTTGCTCTACAACCTTGGACTTTTTTCTTCAGAGACCACAAAGGTGGGATTCCTAATTTCCTTGCTTAAGGGAGAGCCCCAGTCCTGGGCTCATCACCTTCTGGAGGAAGAAAGCCCAATCCTGAACTCTCTCACCACCCTATTCGACACAATGGCACAGTTCTACAACGACCCCCAACAGCGGAATCGATCCTCATCTCTCTCCTCCAAGGTCGACGTCCAGTGGAGGACTATGTGGCAGAATTCCGCAAATGGAGAGCAGATACTGCGTGGAACGACGCTGCCCTCAAACACCAGTTCCGCCTAGGTCTGTCCATGACCATGGAAGAGCTGATCCAGTTGTCAATACAACTTGATCGAAGAATCCGGGAGAGGCGGAAGGAACGGGCCGGTACCGTCCGCCCAACCTGGATGATGCCCAAGGTTCCCATGGCCCCTCACTTCCGATCCGCTGAATCTTCTGCCGCATCACGCGTCCCCTACACCACAACTCGGTATCGTGAGGGCCCCGCTATCCCCAGAAGAATGTCAACGCCGCCGGCTCAACAATTGATGTCTTTACTGTGGAGAATCGGGGCACTTCTTGAGTGGGTGTCCAGTCCGTCCTCGTAAGTTTACTTCAACTGTTTATCTTCCCAACCATAAAGATAGACTTTCTCAGTCGTGGCAATAGTTGACTCTGGAGCCTGTAGTTGTTTTATTGATCACCGTTTTGCCCTCCTATATCATATCCCACTTTGCACCAAGACACAGCCTTTGATCATACAGTTGGCCGATGGGTCCTTGCCAAGTTCTGGCCCTATCACACAAGAGACTTGCCCTCTGTTGACCCGTACCAAGCAGTCACATATGGAATATTTGCGACTGGATGTAATTTCTTGCCTTATGCTCCCAGTCATATTGGGGCTACCCTGGTTACAAACCCAAGAACCGGGGATCAATTGGAATACCATACTGG